CTATTTCTGACTTCTATACACTGTCCTTTGTTCCTTCTTGTTTGATATTCCTATCTGTCAGGCTGATTATACATGCCCCTAGGAGTACCTTAAAGGTTTCTTATGGTAATGAAAATTACCACTCTTAGGTCTTTCTTTATTTACTTGTTTATGATTTCTTTTAAAAATTCCTTTAGGGGCCTTCCTAATATTACCAGTCTGATAATCATCAAGATCCTTTTTGAACTTCCTACGTTTAGTATAAAGGACAACTTGTTCAATTTTATCAAATTTTTTGTTAATCTCTTCAAAATCCTTAGCACCAACAAAAGGATCTATTTTTTCTTTTATCGCTTTTATGGCTATATCCAGTTTGCTCAGAGTGATCGTTCGCTGATCAATACGTATTTTGATCATCGTAACTGAGAACGATTCCAGCGCTCTATGCCATATATCCGTAAAGGATGAATCATCTTGATCAAATTTATTGAATCTCAAACCTCTTGGTGTTATTTCTTCTTTTAGGTACTTTTCTAATGTAAAAACTTCCCATCTAATTTTTAATTCTTGAATCAAAATTTTTTCTAATTCTTTACACATAATTTCTAAATTATCACTAAGTTTTACAGTGACTTTATTGATTTCTCCTTTATTAAATCTCTCTTTAATTTGTTCTGCCCATCTTTCTCTTCTCTTAAATATATTCATAATTGCAAGCAGCCTATATTGCACTGGTGATTAAAAGAAAAACAAAGAATGTGAAATGAAAATGGCGCTAAGAAGGTGCCGCTAATCCCTAAATGGGAATTAATCACCCGATTCCCCAAATCCAAATGCAAGACACAGAAAAAAAGTGGGTGGTGCACTCCACATGCAATCAAAAGTGCAAGTGTAGAATAAATGATAAAATAAATAATACCTATTCAGGTTTGTTTTCCACAAATGGCTGTAAAGAATAAATAAACTTTATATAAATAAATATATATATATATATATATATATATATATGTATATATATTTTATTGAATTATTCCTTTATAAAGCAATAATAAAATAAAAAAATAAAAAAATAACATACATTAAAAAGGAGAAAGGTACAGCAAACAATCCTGCAGCTCCAGAAACAGAACGGGGCCCACGACAACAGATTTGCGATGATAGAAGACATGCGGCGCAAAAACAACTTAAAAATCAGGGGCGTCCCGGAGGCCATACCCACAGAGGAACTGCCACACATGCTGAGGCGCCTCACGGCGGCGTTACTATCCCCACGACAGGCCAAATCAATGTCTATGGAGGATTGCTTCCGAATTCCAAAAGCGCCAAAAGCCCCTGCAGCAGCCCCGAGAGATCTAATAGTCCACCTCCGCAATGGCAGGGACAAAGCGGCAATGCTAACAGCCCTCAAGGATCAGGATCTGTACAACTTTGAGGGTATGCAACTCACCTTTTACCCATGGAGGATTAGCCTTTGAATGCTGTTGTGGCACCATGGGCCTGTTTGTTATAACTTGCACAGCAAAAATAAAGAATAAAAAAAAGGAGAAAGGTTGTGCACTTACATGATTATTATTAATTACACTATGTATAAAAGTAGATTACAGCCTTCGTGAAATTGGTCACTCTGAAAATTACATTATACAATAATACAATAAAGTATACAATTATTTTTTTTTATCTCGGATGCCTATCATAAAGATATTACATGCTGTATTTAAATTATCTTAATAGTCAGTTCTCCTACATTCATTCGTCTATACATTCATTAATTCCTGGTTCTGATATCTTTAACAAAATACAGAAATCCTAAATTCAAGTCTAATTTAAATCAATTTAGAGAGGGAGTAAACATCTAACAAAAATGCTATGTTTATCCTCATTCTCTTCCCCCGCTCCATAAATTGAACATAATTATAAATGAAGCAATATTTAGGGTCTAGTAAAACCATCCAAGCGGTACTAATTTATATCTTTTTCTTTTCTTGTTCGTATTAATTACAATACAACAACTGAGTTGGATTCACAATGCCGTGGAAACCCCCCTGGCACGGCCTTTTTAATAGACTTCCTTTTGAATTTCGGCTGGAGCACGTAACATGAGATTAAGGATGCCAAGCAGAAGCACATCACACGAAGTTCCCGCAATGCCATTTTGGATAATGGCAGAAGCGCATTATGAGAGGCCGAGCGCTCCGCCATGTTGCATGTGTCAATTTTGTGTTGGATTCACATTCCATGGTCCTGGGCAGATGGTTCGCCATTTTAGAGGTGGCGGAAAGCACATCCGGCACGGACCATATATGGGAAGGAGGGGAGGGCTCTTATCCCATGTGTACATAGTTCCAGGGTAATTTAGCGGGGTATATATTTCCCAACAGAACAGTCAGACTTTATTACACCTGATAAAGACCCATTAAGAGGTCGAAACGCGTTGTGTTGCACAAAGAACTCTGCCGCTGAAGACTATATACTTCCATGTAAGATTTTACTTCATTTTTGTTCAATAAATTATATGCTTATATTTAATCTGGTGCCATTCAATTTATATGTGTTTGGAGAGAGGTCATCTGCCGTATTGAAGATTGGAAAACCATCACCACTTCATAAGTGCTTTTACTTGAGCCAGTTCTTACAGGCTCTAATAAATGTGAGTGGGATGTGAATATAGTTTTTCATAATATATACTATATTGGTTGTTCCTTGACTATACTACTCTACGTCAAGTTTATTTATTCCTTACAGCCATTCGTGGAGGTCAAACCTGATTAGGTATTATTTCTTTTACCATTATTTCTGCACTTGCACTTTTGTTTGCATGTGCAGTGCGCCACCCACTTCTTAGCACCATTGTAATTGCACATTCTTTGTTTTTTATATAAATCCACAATTATCTGAAGTCTTGGTGGTTATCAGCAAGAAAATCCTCAAGCACTCTTGGATTTTTTGGACTTATTATTTGGCACAGCTTTTATTTGTATTTTGTAATGTTAGAGGTAGTGAAATACAGTAACACAAAATATAAGGAAAGGGTACAAACGTGGGTTGCTGGAATAGGTTTTACTGAGGGCTTAGTGGTTTTTCTTTGTTTGGATCACAGCTTCAGGAGAGGATGCAAGGTGTGGGAAGGGAAAGCTATTAACAGTTTAATTGATATTCTCTCCTGAAGAAGTGAGTTTTCAATATGTATTAAGTTTCTGTGCAAAACAATAAACCCTCTTGAATAAGATTGACATTAAACACGCTAAGAGACACTATCCCACTGGTCAGAAACATGGAGGAGGAACCCTCATGGATATTAAATCAGGAGCACTTACAAGGAGCAATTTCCCATTTGAAGAAGCCAGGAATAGAGAAGACTAAAACTTCTTCCTATCTGAAAAAGCTGCATCTTATATTTCTTACAAGCTGTGAAATAAGACTCAGCTTTTGCCTTGACTCTCACCTTGGTCTGAAGTAAGATGCCAGCAATTTTATTTTATATGTGAATAAAGTATACACTTTCACCTGTAACATACTGTGGCTATATGTATTTTAGGGAGCGTCACCCTTATTGGACGCGCTGATTTGGTTACTAAATGCGGCTTTTACATACTCCTATTACATGTAAATTAATTTATCAAATAATTATATGTTTTACAAAGAGGATCATTTTTCTCTTTTATGTACACTGGCAAAACTATGCAATGATCGGGCCTAAGGAAGATTTAAAGGGAGCTAATTTAAAAATTTTTAAGGGATATCACATATAGTTGAAAGATTGCTCTAATTAACTTTTAGTGGTTGGATAGTTTTTCTGCAAAAAGGACAACATTGTTTGGTGCAAAGAGACTGGTATTGCTTGATATTTCTGTATATATAGGTTATGAAAATAGCACTCCACATTTATATATACATTTTTATACATATCCTGGAGGTTGGAGACACGAGAGTGCATGTCAGGCTCTACGTAGAACCTAAACATGCAGAGTATAACACAAAGTATAAATAATACTGTATTCCTGAGTGGCCAGTCAAACAGTATAGAAGACAGAGAGAATGCTGATATATATATATGCACATTGCACATTGCAATTTTGTGCTACTGTAATAAAAAAACACTAAAATATTCTCAGTTATTTCTCCTGAGTAAAGAATGACCTCCTTTGTATACCCCTGTCAGGTTTTTGTGAGAATACAATAGGGAATTTAAAACCTACCCAGTGCAGGTTTTCCAAATAAAAAAGTAAAATTAAAGTGCTTTTAGGGACATTTTTAGTAGCTCACATATTTAAATTACTCCAGAAATGCATATTATTTGCAAATGTGGATTTATAGGGACTCTCACATGACATCATTTGAGCATTATAGAGGTGCCATTTTTCACCATTTTTATTTCAAAGTTTGTGGTATTATTTTTTATTTATTTTTACACACACATATGCATTACATACATACATAAGCACAGTGATCTTCATGCTGCAAACAAATCTTTTATTTTTTTTTATTTTTTTTTTTAACTGTGTGTGTGGTGAAAAAAAAAAGAGATGATTGATGGATGGAGTGCAGCCACTAGATTTTGATTTTATTCACAGATCAGGTCAATAGTAACCAACAGTGGGGAAACATTTTTTACTGCTCCTCCTTTATTCAACACTTTTGGTTACTTATTTGCAATTGATCTGTGAAACAAATGGTGAACTGGTTTAAGTGAACTGTAAAATATATACATATTTTTTCTGCACCCTTTTTGTGTGTCTGAATTGTTTTTTCCAATCATTTGTACGGACAAAATTCTACCATATCAAACCGCCACATCTACCTGAATTCAGCTGAACTAAATTCTTTTGCTGTCCATGTCTATTTCAGATATCCCTTTTCCAGACACCCCTAACTCATCAGAACCTAGTCAGCAAGCCTTATGATCTGGCTCTGCATTTCAAGTATTCTAATACTTTTTCAACACATTTACAATATATCCACATATAATATGTCGGGGTCAAAAGCGGCTCGCCCTGAGGGTCAACCATGGTGGAGTCGTCAACTCAATCTTTGGGGTCTTCTCCAGGTACTGTCAAGGAGCTGTGCTCCGGAAAATAAATACTGGAGTGATAAGAGTCTTCCTCATCAGACTCGCTTTGTGCCTCCTCTTGATCCGAATCAGATTCGGACGATTCATTCAGGGCTTTTGCCCTCTTCCAGTTCCTTACCGATTTTGCCTGGTGGGGGGCTCTTAGTTGTGGTGCAACCACATGCTCTGTCACAGGACGTAAGGTTTTGGAGGCATCCTTGTGCAAATGGCAAGACTTTTTTGTGGATTTACGCCCAGTAGGGGCCACCGGTTTACTCTCTGGGGGGTTAGCAGTGAGAGCTGGTGGTAGCTGAGTGGACCTCAGTGCATGGGTGATCAAATGGGAGATATTATCAGACATGGCCCCCATAGCGGTAAAGATGGCTTGCCTCACAGACTTCGCCACAGCAGCGTCCAGGAGGGAATGTAACTCCTCAGAGTCCATTTGCTCCTGTGACGCTTCCTTTAATGTGGCTGGTTTGGAAAGCGTTAGGGGTGTCGGGGTTATGGTGGCACTAGTGGAAGAGCTAGAAGTTTCCATCACTTTACCGGACTGCATGGCACCGAAGTTAACGTTTACAAGTGTGACAGGCAGAACTTTAATTATTCTAATAAGGGCCAGGCACTACAGGGACTGCAGAGTAGGGAGAATCTACCCAGTAACAGGGTGGAAATTGCAGTTGGAACAATAAGGGTATTTGGCACAATTTAAATATACTAAAAAGGCACAGCAGTACAAATACAGCAAGCTCACTGAGTGTTCCCTCAGGAATAAGCTCCTGGGGAGCACCGGTAAACTGCCTAGCAACACAGCCATCCCAATGGCTTAATTCCACTCCCAACTGAGCAGTATTGGCCGCGCAAGAAAAAGCATGGCAAAACCGTCAACCCCAAGATGGCCGCCATGATACGCACTCGCAAAGTGTGCTCGCGATGTGCACTCACAATGTGCGCGTGCGCAAACGGCACTAGCTGTGTCCAAAGCCGCTATCCGCCGGGCCCGCGGAAAGAACGGCACCTTGTGTGAGAAGGGAGCTTCACGTCTGAGGCTGTCAAATAGACAACAGGATAAACGGTCGGAAGATAATCAAATCGACCAGGTGACTGAGGGAAAAGGGAGGGGGGGGGAGGGAAGTTGCAGGGAAGGAAAGAGCAACAGTATTTCTAGACAGGACAATTAAAATGGGGGAAATAATGCAAAATTAAAGTAAAGTAAGGTAAATTAACCCAAAGCATACAGAAAGAAAACAAACAATTTCTCAAATCATGACAGAGGAATAAAGAAAGAGATTAAGCATAATAGGAGCCTCCGTGTCCTTTAATAAAATTATATTAGACTGCCATACTCTCCCAAAAGTAACATAGGCCCAGATAATCACTTTGTCAAATTTCCAACTTTATAATTAGCATTCAATATATTTGTCCCTGTGACTTCCCACAACAAAAACTGGTACATGGGGGTACTGTTATATTCAGGAGACAATGTTAAATAACAATATGGAGGCTTTATTGCATTAACTCATTAATATCAGTATCAATATGAAATGTTCTGTGAAAATGGAGTTTATGTATGTGAAAAAGCACAAATAAAAGTAATACCACTACGTAGTACTGTATTAGTGAGACGTCCCTGAACACAAATATGAGTGTTTTAGAGCAGTAAAATGTATAATGATGATATCATCAGTGAATGTGCTGTTTTCTTGTGAAAAATGCAAAAAAGAAAATATGAACACTAACTTTGGCCCTATGTTTGTGCCTACTACAAAAGAATGGATATACCGAATTTTGAATACCCTGGGGTGTCTACTTTTGCAAATGGTTTGCCATGATGGGGCTGATTCTCTTTCGTGGGCTGCCATATGGTCTCAATGACAACATCAGGCCCAGCAAACCAATCTGTCAAATTTCAATGTGTAAAAACTGAAATGGACAAGCTTTATATTGGACCTTGTAACTTTCTAAAACCCCATGAAACCTGTACATAGGTTTATATAAAAGCTAACAGCATTATGACATTTACAGTTAAAATACATTGCAGAACTTGGAAAATAGCAAAAGTTCTTAATTTCTCAAACATTTCTACATTTAATTAATAAAAATTGCATTTCATATATAATCATTTGATGGAAAATTAAAGTCCTGTTTCCCTTGAGGAGAATGATATGTAATAAGTGTGGGTACACTTTTTCTAATAGTTTTTATTGAAAAATTTAAAATTTTAAATAAAATGAACAATCAATATACAAAGATATGTAAAATATTGATACAACAAACAAACCAGAGTATAATGTAATAAATAATTATCTGGAAGTATTAAATTATTAATACATCAAATGTAGAATAATATGGTACAAAATAGCACAACATATATATAACATTTTGGTCAGGTGGTATCAACAATTTAAGTTGAACTTCTGTCTGATGTATTTTTCTTTGATATCCTATTCATATCTAAGAAGGTCAAGTGTATGGGACGGTAACCTAAGCACAATTTCCCATTTTATATTTTCAAACAATTGGTTAATAACTTCATTAATGTCCAGAACTACAGGAGACTTCCAGTGATGTGGGTACACTAAATGTAAGAGGTGAATTATGGTTGAACAGACATATAGAGCAAATTCTAGGGTTTGTTTTGATCCAAACTTGTACAATTGCCTCCGCCCTTAAAGGTACACTATAGTTATCCAGACCACTTCAGCTCCACCCAGGTCCCCCAGGGTTTTAACCCTTCAGATGTAAACATAGCAGATTCAGAGAAACTGCTATGTTAACATAGCAGGGTTAATCTAACCTCTAGTGGTTGTCTTCCTGACAGTCGCTAGAGGCACTTCGGCGACGCTGACTGCGAAATTCACATCCAGCGAGCAGAACGTCCATAGGAAAGCATTGAGAAATAATTTTTAAATAAAGCCAATATCAACATAAAATCATTTCAGATAAAATATCACACACAACAAGGTCCAATACTTAATATTTCATAGTAGAATGTGAGATTAGCTGAAGAACTGAATAATTTTGCATGATATCCTTGGATCTAGAATCACTGCTATGGTATGGTGACAGACAGAGAGAATCTTAAGAGAAGTAGAATGTCTTCTTGTAGCAAATATTTTACTTGTAGAAGCTTGTACTACAATCACTTACTAATACAAGCTTTTCATGGAGTCTCTGCTGAACAAGAAAACAAAGGAATGCATATTTGGGATAGGAATTGTCATTTGTCTGCTATCAGTTTTGGTTTTAGACAGAAAATTAAGTATTCAATAGCATAACATCTGATTGTATTCAATGATTATGAGACCACTGTAAAATGGAAATATATTTCAAGATGTTCTTCACATTTATAGTCATTATTGTGCTTAAAAATTGTATATGTTTAGCTTACTTCACTGTATACAGGACATCATTCAGATTCCAGGATAATATAGATACCGGATGTTGTGTTTGTGCACTAAGAATCTGGTGAAGAGAGCCTTTGAGAAGCTGTGGTGTGAGATGGTGCAGCAGTGTCAAACTAATAGAAATAAAACATATTAAATCATATGTTGTAATGTGATTTTCAAAATGAAAAACGTACACCAATCCCAGTGTTACCATGGACTATGGATAGCTTCCTTCTGCAAAGCAATCAAAGCAATCAGCATCAGGCATGCAATCATATTTCTCTAAAGCTAAAGTGCTTGACTACATGTTTAGGTTAACGTCACACCTAACCCCTTCCAATAATGGAATAAGAAAGGAACTTTTACTCACCTTTTTTACCTCGTCACAGTGTTCTTTCCACAGCTTGCCCTGCCTACTTGGCTGAGATCATCAATCATAAGAAAGCAAGGGGTGGCGGCTAATGCTCATGCACAGCATAGTGCTGTGCTGTGCTAATCAAACATTGCAGGTTGTAAACAGGAGAATGGCACCCAGACCACTTCATTAAGGTGAAGAGACACTTGGGAAACATTTTCTTCCTCTACAAACATAAATTGATGTTGTAGTTTTAAGTAAAGAGACAGCTGTTTTATGTGACTGTGGGACTCAGAGCACAGAAATACACAGCTGTGTCTTCTATGAGAGTTCCTGTCAGACTGAGGGTTGATGTCTTGTTGTTTGTAAACATCTTCATAGAAAATTTCTTCTTATATTCCTTTGGTACATATTCAGTACGAGCATAATCACCCCGTGCCAAATATTGCAAGGACTGGCCATTATTCTGTTTATACCAGAATACATATAGATTGAGCTTAGTTTCATAGCTACAGTGGAAAGTCACAAGCTGTCCTTCACGTGTCGTATGCACAGTGGGTGTCTGAGTGACAATATCTTGACAAAATGTTTCTTTCACTGAAATCAATAAAAAAAATATACATATAAATAACACATAAAGACCATTAACAATACACAATTATAACTGTATAACATTTCATAATGTCAGAAAATCCCTTTACCTGATAGTGTGATCCAAAAACCCACACAAAACCAAAGCATCATGTGCGTGATTGGGTTGCTCTGAAAACAATTACTGAACAGAGGTTTTGCTCTGTAATATTAAAATTGCCTGCTTCTCTAGGGGGCGGAGTCCGTGCAAGAGTCACTAATCTCTCTACCATATGTAGATTTATATCAGTAGAACTCAATAATGGTTGGTTACTTAAAATATCTAAATTATTATTATCGTTATTCTGAGCTCTTCTTTGTAGGAGTTTATCACTGCTCAAAATGTACTGAAAAGTGAAATGCTGTGATAATTTTGATCACATATGTTAGTGTTCTAATTGTGATCTAAAAAGTGCAGATTTTCCACCTGAACTTTCCATTTTTGAAGACTGACAAATTTAGGGTGGAGGGAACAAGGCTTTGTCCAAAAAAATTTATGGATTTGTTATGTTGCCAATAGAAAGGTGTCTATTTAAAAATATGACAGTTGGGGAAAAAATGTCAATGCATTCTGCTCTAGTAAAAAGTGGTCTAAAGTACTAAAACTGGGGCAATCACCATGGAAACCAGTGGAACCATGAGGCGTATCTCTTTTGTAGTTATACTCTACTTTTTAGAACAGAACACTTTGTTCTTTCCCACTTAGGGCACAAAATAAGCAACAGTTGAAAAAACCCAAAAGATTTAATAATATGCAAAACATTTCACCAAAAATTAAACATAAAAATGTTAGCAAACTTTTACAACCTACATGCACTGCAAGATAAATTTCACCTTACCAATAGCCAATTAATTGGGAGTATATTAGTTGTCTTTACTCACCCTCTAGTGTTGTTTTTCTATGTTACACACAGAAATGAACTTGTGAAGATATTTAAATATGTTGTGAACAAATACATTCATAATTCAAAGAACATTTTTATTTCACATAATGGCATGGTGTAAAATTAAGTATGTATGTGTTGTTTCTTCAATATTTTGTGTAACTAAAAGTCAGGGTGGTAGTACTTTGGTAGCAGAGAAGAAAATATCTGTTTAGGGAATGCACTAATTTCAAACTGACTGTCTTTGTGTGGCATACTAAAAAATGTTTAATTAATCTTCCATAAAGAATCAGGACTCAAGCAAAAGATACCCATATCTTATGCTGACCTATAAACCATTCCCATGGCAATCAAAAATGGCTTCCCCATTGCCAGCTATGGTGCTGTAATTGTATTTATTTATGACTGGTATTTATAAATCTCCAACAGATTACGCAGTTCTAAACAATTAGTGGTGGACGTACAATATACACACATCAATACAGAAGGTAGAGAGTCTGTAAGCTGATAACTTGCCATTGAAGCTCTTTTATACAAAGTGATTGGCTAGATTGCCTGTGAGCTTACAATCTAAAGGATATAGTAGGGATTTGAGACAAGAGGTAGCAGGGGAAGTTTGGAAGTGATGGCAAAAATAAGTTCACAGAGAGTTGCAGCTATTGGTAAAATGTAAAGGGAATGAAGAGGTTATTGAGTGAGAATCTCAAACAGCTGGAGGGACATGCTATATATTTAGGGGGAACGTGGGTGGGTAGCGCTGAGGAAAAATGCAGAACTTCAGTATAGTTGTTTCTGTGAGTGAGCAATGGATGCATTGCATTGCATGAAGTTATTCAGTATTATGCAGATCAACAAACGTGAGGAAATGTGTTGCGTGTTTCATGCTCATTGCATGGAATAATTGGATAATAGAGATCTTTATGCGCAGCCACAGAAAAAAAGTGAAAGGACTGAATGGCACATCACAGAGCTGACTCACATCACACAGGTAGCAGTCACTAATTGGAATGGTTCCTCTGGAATATTTGCATAAATGGTTTGTTTGTGAGTGAGTATTAAGTGGGTATTAATCCACTGAGCCCCGTCAGCACTCAGCAGTAGTGATGTCGAGAACGGTTCGCCAGCGAATAGTTCCTGGCGAACATCGCTTGTTCGCATTCGCCACGGACGGCGAACATATGCGCTGTTCGGTCCGCCCCCTATTCATCATCATTGAGTAAACTTTGACCCTGTACCTCACAGTCAGCAGACACATTCCAGCCAATCAGCAGCAGACCCTCCCTCCCAGACCCTCCAACCTCCTGGACAGCATCCATTTTACATTCATTGTGAAGCTGCATTCTTAGTGAGAGGAGGGACAGTGTAGCTGCTGCTAATTTGATAGGGAAATTGATAGCTAGGCTAGTGTATTCAGTGTTCATTACAGTCCTGAAGGACTCATGTGATCTTTGCTGTAAGGACAGCACCCCAAAAAAGCCCTTTTTAGGGCTAGAACATCAGTCTGCTTTTTTTTTCTGTGTAATGTAATTGCAGTTGCCTGCCTGCCAGCCTGTGTGTCAGGCTCACAGCATATACTGTGCCCACTTGCCCAGTGCCACCACTCACTCACTGGTTTCACAATAGCTTGCATTTAAAAAAAACAAAACTTTTTTGACTGTGATATAATAGCAGTCAGTTTCCTTCACGAGTGTGCGTTTCAGGGCCTGCCCAGTGCCACCACTCACTCACTGGTGTCCCAATAGCTTGCATTTAAAAAAACCAAAACCTTTTGGACTGTAATATAATAGCAGTCTGTTTCCTTCACGAGTGTGCGTTTCAGGGCCTGCCCAGTGCCACCACTCACTCACTGGTGTCCCAATAGCTTGCATTTAAAAAAAACTAAAACTTTTTGGACTGTAATATAATAGCAGTCAGTTTCCTTCACGAGTGTGCGTTTCAGGGCCTGCCCAGTGCCACCACTCACTCACTGGTGTCCCAATCAGTGGTGTATCCTGGTTTTGTGCTGCCCTAGGCAGGACAAAACTAAGGCGCCCCCCTTCCCCCGCGCCACCCCCCGCCCCACCTTCTAAATACACACACACACAGTCAGACACATACACAGACACAAACACAGTCAGACACAAACACACACACAGTCAGACACACACACACACACACAGTCAGACAAAAACACACACACAAACACAGTCAGACACAAACACACACACACAGTCAGACACAAACACACACACAGTCAGACACAAACACACACAGTCAGACACAAACACACACACACAGTCAGACACAAAACACACACAGTCAGACACAAACACACACACACACAGTCAGACACAAACACACACACACACAGTCAGACACAAACACACACACAGTCAGACACAAACACACACACACACACAGTCAGACACACACACAATCACTCACATTAACTTTTTTTTTATTTAACCCCCCCCACCTCCTTACCTTTGGGAATGCTGTGGGGGGGTTCCTCTTTCTCCCTGGTGGTCCAGTGGCTGCCAGTCAGGCTGCTGGGCTGTCTGCAGGGCGGGCGGCTGGCGAGGGAGCACTTCCTCTGAGCGCTCTGCTCAGCTCCCTCGCGCGCTGCAGAGTGAGGCTGGGAGCTGGAAGATGACGTCATATTCTGGCTCCCAGCCTCACTCTGCTGCGCGCGAGGGAGCTGAGCAGACCGCTCACAGGAAGAGCTCCCTCGCCAGCCACCTTCCCGCTCGGCATGCATGTTAGCCGCAAGTCTAACAAGGCATTTGCCCTGGGCATTTGGGGGCGGCGTTTTTTGCCGCCCCCTGAAAAATGCTGCCCAAGGCAAATGCCTTGTTTGCCACCAGATAGGAGTGGTGTGTTAAGTAGTACTATTCTTATTAGTTTAATCCCAATGTCACGACTACTAGTGTGGTCCAGCACGAAGAAACTATGTAAACATATACATAGGTAAGAAAAGGAAAATAAAAGGACAGAGCGTAAACCAGACCTTAGAATGGCCAGACTAATACGATAGAGACAGAGAATGGTCAAAGGGAAAGCCGAGGTCAAGGAAGCCAGAAAATACACAATACCGTTTACACAAGCCAAGTCAGGGAAACCAGAATTCAAAAAAGCCAAGATCAGGATACAAGGAAATCAGATTCACAATGATAAAGCACTCTCAGGAAACCAGGAACAGGAAACCATGACAGGGCAAGGTCCTGGGGTGAGCTAGGGATTTAAATATCAAGCGGCGGGCCGGCAGCCGCGACACCCTGTTATGTCCTCCCTCATCAGGCCTTTTTAGTCGAATGTATCCATCCCTCATTCATCTTAATAAAGGTGAGGTAATCTAGACTTTTTTGACCTAGGCGACTTCTCTTCTCAGTGACAATACCTCCTGCTGCACTAAAGGTCCTTTCTGACAGGACACTTGAAGCGGGGCAGGCCAGAAGTTCTATCGCAAATTGGGATAGCTCAGGCCACAGGTCAAGCCTGCACACCCAGTAGTGAAGGGGTTCATCGCTCCTCAGAGTGTCGATATCTGCAGTTAAGGCGAGGTAGTCTGCTACCTGTCGGTCGAGTCGTTCTCTGAGGGTGGATCCCGAAGGGCTGTGGCGATTCGTAGGACTTAAAAAGCTCTGCATGTTCTCCATCAACAACACGTCTGTAAAGCGTCCTGTCCTTGCCGGCGTGGTCGTGGGAGGAGGAGTATTACTTTCACCTCTTCCCCTGTTAGATTCCCGTTGTGCTGTGACATCACCCTTATACGCTGTGTAAAGCATACTTTTTAATTTATTTTACAAATGCTGCATCCCTTCCGACTTGTTGTAATTTGGTAACATTTCAGCCACTTTGTGCTTATACCGGGGGTCTAGTAGCGTGGACACCCAGTACAGGTCGTTCTCCTTCAGCCTTTTTATACGAGGGTCCCTCAACAGGCACGACAGCATTAAATACCCCATTTGCACAAGGTTGGATGCCGAGCTACTCATGTCCTGTTCCTCGTCCTCAGTGATCTCAATGAAGGTATGTTCTTCCCCCCAGCCACGTACAACACCACGGGTACCAGATAGGTGACAACAAGCACCCTGGGATGCCTGTTGTGGTTGGTCTTCCTCCTCCTCCTCAAAGCCACATTCCTCCTCTGACTCCTCTTCCTCACAATACTCTTCCAGCGTTGCCGCAGGTCCAGCAAGCGATGCTGATAAGGCTGTTTCTGGTGGTGATGGTGA